TTCACTCAGACTGACTCATTATAGACTTCACCTTTCACTCAGACTGACTCAGTATAGACCTCACTTTTTGCTCAGACTGACTAAGTATAGCCTTCGCCTTTCACTCAGACTGACTTAGTATAGACTTCACATTTCACTCAGACTGACTCATTATAGACTTCACCTTTCACTCAGACTGACTCAGTTTAGACTTCACCTTTCACTCAGACTGACTTAGTATAGACTTCACATTTCACTCAGACTGACTCAGTATAGACTTCACATTTCACTCAGACTGACTCAGTATAGACTTCACCTTTCACTCAGACTGACTCAGTGTAGACTTCACCTTTCACTCAGACTGACTCAGTTTAGACTTTGTAAATCCACATACAAATCTGTATTAAAAATACTTTAATAAGAGTATAGGATTTTTTTGCAATTACTACATACTTGTAATGTTTACTAAAAGTTTGCTAATTTCGTGAAGATAGACTTAATACATTCAGAATTATCGTATGTATTGTTTCACAGCGATTACCAGCTTGGTCAAATACACTGAAGCTTTATACAAAGAGATAAAGTCTCCTCCAGTAAATCATTTTATTTAAGCTTGCAGGTGTCCACACACGTACCTTGAGAACTTATCCTGATGGAACATTTGATATTGAGGAACTAGTCCGTAAAATACGCCCAACCGATGACATACATCAACCAACAACAGCACTTATTTGCTTGGAAAATACACATAATCGATGTGGCGGCGCTGTCCTTCCGGTAAAGTTTGTTAAAAAGGTTGGTGTTGTTTTTGTTATAAAAACAAACTTTGTTCAATATTATGATCTGTGGAGTAGTAGTATGAAAAGAAAGAAAAACTATCAGCGTTCCAAGGACAGAGCTTACACCTCTTCTCCCTTTTGTCCAAGGTAACTCGGTTATCCTTCATGCTTCGCAAGATATTCGCCTGATTTAATTGAGGCAACCCATTTCTCGATGTATTTTGAATTATTTGCATGTTATCACGTGTTACAGTCAGTGCTCGCTAGATGGCATTAGAAACACTGTTGATCTCTGGGTTTACATGTGATATATATTCTTTCAATATGAAACTACAGCAAAGAATACAAATGCTTTATTTCGGTGTTTATGATAAAAGCAGATCATAAAAGAACATTTGGTTTTGATAGCCTATAAGAAAAGTTCTAGTTTATTTTATAGATTGGCAATCAAATTTTTGACAGTTTTTGAAACACAAGTCATTTTAGCAGTTTTAATACCTTTATTTTTTAGAATATCTTCAATGACCAGTTCTTACTGCTGTCATTTTTCGTGAGTAACTCCAGGATTTTAAGTGATGTTTGTTTTGTATTACATAGTTTCAATGTTACTGCTGCATCTAAAAGTATGTGTAGTGAAGCTTAAGCAGCCAGTGATGAATACATATTGTGTAAAGAACATTTAGTTAAGTCCTTGCTGTCCCTTTGCAAGACACGTAGAACACACAAACTCCAGTTTTAAGTGGTGTTTGTTTTATATTACATAGTTTCAATGTGATTGCTGCATCTAAAAGTATGTGTAGTGAAGCATAAGCAGCCAGTGATGAATACATATTGTGTAAAGAACATTTAGTTAAGTCCTTGCTGTCCCTTTGCAAGACACGCGGAACACACAAACTCCAGTTTTAACTGGCATGAGCAGATAAGAATGGTGACCTATTCTTCTCTTGACGGGATGCTAGTTCATCGAAAGTTAAACCCCCAGTTTGAAGTAGGGGCAAGTAAATGAACAAAGGAAAAGTGGTTCATTTCATTGTTAGATTGTTATTTAATTTCTACTTTGTGTAACAATTATAAAAAAATTATTCTTATTATTATTTGGACCTATTAGTACCGTACGTTTTATCAAAAAATACGAAATCTGATTTTCTGAAAAACATAATAAATACACATGTTAGATCTGAATAAAGACTTGGAACCCCCAAGATTGTGACCACATTAAAGTATGTATTTATTGTAGCCATATTTGCATCTCTGTAGTAGAGTCTTAATGATTAGTTGGATTGAAATGCTCGTACATTAGTAACTTAGCAACAACATAAACATCTGTTATTGAATACATTAAATTTAAACAGCGTAATAATACAAATAAGATAATAGATTTTGAGTGAATAATTTGTCTTTTTCATACTAGTTTTTTTTTTTTTTTTAAGTTATAAGAAAAGCAATAATATTCTTCTCAATTTCAGGTCTATCATTCTAATGAAAACTGAAAAGTTTTTTTTGTTTTCTGTATGTAATTAACAAGGAATTAGTCCTAATAGGCCATCAGCAGCACAATACAATTTCTTGGGTGGGGTGAAATATTTTTTTCTTCATGTGTTTATAATCTGATAAAAGATGAACGCCTTTTAATGCTTTACGTATTGACATGTACATTTAGAATGACAATTATTTCATAAACTCTAACTATGAATTGTAAAAGGTTGGCCAAATCGCACAAGAACACAACATCCCTGTCCATATGGATGGAGCAAGGATCATGAACGCAGCTACAAAACTTGGAGTTCCAGCCGCATCCATTCTAGAAGACTGTGCATCTGTTTCTGCCTGCTTGTCGAAGGTAATGGAAACTATACCTTCACAATTATCATGTATCATTGTAGTTTTCTCATGTGAACAATTCTTTTATATATCATTGTAGTTTTATCATGTAAACGTCTTTTTCTCTTATCATGTATCACTGTAGTTTTCTAATATAGATGACTCTTCTTTTTAGTGCTTTTTTTAAACGTTAAATTAAAATTCTCAAATCCAAGGTCTGCTATTAATGAAAAAGCCCATTTTTTTTTGCTGTTTGATAGTATTAATATAAGCTGTATCTTGTAATAGCTTTGATTTGAGAATGAAAGCTGGAGTTACGTTTTGTAAGCTGTATCTTGTAATAGCTTTGATTTGAGAATGAAAGCTACAGTTACGTTTCGTAAGCTGTATCTTGTAATAGCTTTGATTTGAGAATGAAAGCTGGAGTTATGTTTCGGAAGCTGTATCTTGTAATAGCTTTGATTTGAGAATGAAAGCTGGAGTTACGTTTCGTAAGCTGTATCTTGTAATAGCTTTGATTTGAGAATGAAAGCTAGAGTTATGTTTTGTAAGCTGTATCTTGTAATAGCTTTGATTTGAGAATGAAAGCTAGAGTTACATTTTGTTGGTACAAATTCTATGCTGTTTATTATGTTTCTTAGGGTCTAGGTGCACCAGCAGGAACATTGGTCGCAGGATCCTCCGAGTTTATATCCAGGTCAGTAAGTTCGTTCAGTGTTTTCATTGGTTGTAAAATGATTTCTTTACAACTAGGAGGGTCGTATCGATCCTACCCCCCACTGCCTAAGAGTGTTCGTTATAACAATCCAACCCCATTTTTTAAGACTTCATGAAATTGTTAGGCCTGAAAACCAAAGTATTATTTCTTTATTAACCCTTTCACTGTGAATATACATTCCAACTGCAGTGAAAAAGTTCAAAAAACATCCACAAAAAAGGTACTTTTAACTTGTAGTACGAAGTTGAGGAAAAATACAATCAACCGTATAAGCAAGAAATAAACTGTCAAACATTATCTCATTCTAGAATAACACAAGCTAGCATGCTGACAACAAAGAACAACACTCAACATGTGGTTTTCTACTAACACATATAATCTTTAAGCACTATGACAGGAATATTCTAAAGTCACATTTATTTAAAGTTGTAGATTTATAGTTTAGTAAGTCACACTATGACAGGAATTTTCTAAAGTCACATTTATTTAAAGTTGTAGATTTATAGTTTAGTAAGTCATTTAAAACTCCATATTTCAGGGTTCTCCGATGCAGAAAAGCCTTAGGTGGGGGAATGAGACAGGTTGGGGTCCTTGCTGCAGCGGGTTTGGTGGCAATAAACACTATGGTCAATCGACTAGCCGACGACCACAAGCATGCACAGCTGGTGGCTAAAGGTACCGATATCTGAATCATGCTAACTGTTCTCACAATAACAATTTTAACTTTTATGTTAATAGAAGTCACTCTTTACTGTACAGTTATATAACCTAAGGAAGTCCTTAGAAGCAAAGTCAGAGGTTAAAAACTCATAATTAGACATTTTTGAACGTTTTATAAGTGTTTCAGTGTTAGTCTTAGCCCTTGAATTATATTCTATGTTATTTGAAGTTTAATTAATTTAAAGGTTTGTTTAAATGAAAAAACAAATTATTGTTCTCAGTTGTTGTTAAAATACTTGAATGCATTTAAATAAATACTTTTTTTTTGTAAGTTTGTTAAATGTAATATTTATTGTATTTTTATGATCACGCAGCAATTAATGATCGTAAAAGTGAAAACATCAGTGTTGACAAGGACAAAGTACAAACCAACATTATTCTCATTAATGTAAACCCAAAAGTTATTTCACCTCAGATGTTTGCTCAACGACTAAAACAGGTGAGGTTTATGGAAGATGTTTCACGTATCTTTGAGATACCAAAATGTTGCATACTTTTTATAAAAGATACCCATAATGGTGAATATTGATGACTATAGGTATCCAAAGTACTAAATATTTCATATTAAGAATATTCAAAATACTGTATACTTCATATTAGTAACTTTTGATCAAAAGAAAGTTACTATAATGTACAAGAAAAATATACCTTAACCCTCTCTGCCTAGGCATCTTTTACTGAGCATGTTACAAGGTTTTAGTGACTAACATTCAAAACTTTATTAAACTACTTTTTGTTTGTTATTCCAATTAGAATAGCATAAAATCTTGGCTAATAATCCATATTTTAATAGTAAATAAGTTTTAGGTTCTTAATTATAAGCCAATATTTTAAAAAATCCTGAATTTCCCTACTGTGAGAAATGTGATATAGTTTCTCTGGGCATCCCCTCTTCTCTATTTTATTCACCACCCCTCTAATACTTATGAAATTTAATGTAAATTACTCACTATAAGATCATTATTGCTCAGACAAACTGTAATTTTTATAGCCTTCAATTTTGTTTGGTTACAGAGCTATTAAATAGAAAATCAGACCCCTCTTGCCACACCCACCTGTCACATCCTCTCTTTCAGGATTTTTTAATAGTTCTTTCTTACAATTAATAATGTATTATATCCTATCACTAGAAAGCCGAGGTTTTTATCTGTCAAATGACGTATTATATTACATTGTTTTCTGAATGGAGAATTGTTAAGTTCTCTGTTAGTACAAGCTTCGTTCCCACAGGAAAGACAACAACTAACTTAGATGAATTTGTAACGCCTCTTGTCGCATAGTTAGAAAGCCAGAAAAACTGTGGTAGTTAGGGGAAATTATCTGCTTTTTTCATTTAGTTAGTAATAAATCATCAGTTTGAAATCTTGCTACTGGAAAACACAAACTACACTAAAATTTTATTTCTGCATTTTACTCCATTATGTACTGTAACATGTAATGATGACTGCACTGCTACCTAAGAACTAGAAGTGCCCGGCATGGCCAGGTGGATAAGGCGCTCGACTCACAATCTGAGGGTCGCGGGTTCGAATCCGCATCCCACCAACCATGCTCGCCCTTTCAGCCGTGGGGGCA